CAAGTACCGATCGAGTTATAAAATGTGATTATCCGCCAATACCGATTATTTAAATATGTTTAATAATAATAATGTTTTTTAAATGTAATTTTCTCTCATTATTCTTCTACAAAATGCAGGTATTGGGCTCTGGAGACCCACACAGAACATTAAGTAAGTTCCCTAATATCTGTTTATTAAAGTGTTTACTAGCAATCAATGTCATGTAAATGGTATTCAAACTAAGACTGGTAACATTTAATACTAAATAAAGCACCTGAGCTGATCGTTGCAACCCAAGCTCATTCTAGAAACGTAGCCCCGCGGACGTTTCTGGAGACCGCGATTTACGTGGCCGGAGGTACGTAAGGCCGCGTTTTGTTTTTTTCGAGCGAATGCTGCGGGGCAGCGTGGCGCCGCTCCGCCCCTCCTCTTCGCGCTCGCCGGCCGACGGCTCGTGGAGGGCTTTCCCGATGCAACCAGTTTGTCTGCTTAGCTCACAGCGTTGCGTCGGCGGAGCGGAGGCCTGGAGGAGGAGCCGGCCGCGGGGACGACGACCGGGATCGAGTCCGGGGAACAGCGGTTCCGGAAATCAGGTAAGACGAAAAATCGAAATCGAAGATGAGGGCTTTTGCTTTTTTTTTTTTTCTGGACGGCTTTTGCGAACAGTCGCTCGGGTTTAGGGAAAGAGGAGGAGGAGGAGGAAGAGGAGGGCGGCCGTGTCGGCCGATCCGGCGGCTTTTCGCGCGAGAACGGTGCGGGCGCGAACGGCGAGCGCTCCCGAGAGGCGCCCGAGACCCGTAAAAGTGCGCACAGCGGCCTCTCGCGTATCCGCGAAAAACAAAAACCGCTCGAATACGTACCTCCCGGGATGTAAATCGCGGTCTGCAGAAACGTCCGCGGGGCTACGTTTCCACAATGAGCCCGGGTTGGATCATTGTCATAGCAGTTTATGCTGTAGTTCAGCCACTATTGCAGAAATATGGTACAGAAATTAGGGTACAGTCTAAGATAGTAATATTAAATATTCTATTCATTAGGTAACCAAATTAATAATTAAGCCCCCCCCCCCCCCCGGTCTTCAGTTTGTGATCGCTCCATCGACCCCCCCCCAACCCCCCTCCCCGCTGTTCTGTTTGTGTTCGCTCTGCAAATCCCCCCTCCCCACCCCCCGGTCAATAACACCTGTAGGGGGCCCCCGCATTTTGCGCTATGCCGCTATGCCACTGTAACTACTAACGTAATACCTGCTCATTAATAAGATAAGAACTGGTTCCCTAATCCTACCAATTACCCAAACCTAACTACTTCCTTATTATTACTATCTATTAATAAGCAGCTAATTAGTAATTTATTGAGCTACTAGTTTTAGTTAATGGTTTGTTAATCGCATGAATTGTGACTTAACATAAAGTGTTAACAATAATTTAACAAAAATCTAATATGTAATATCCAGCCTGATCTCATGAAAAAACTTAAGTATTTTACGTTTTATCAGTTTAGTGGCTAATTCGTCCAAATTCTTACGAGTTCAGTCGTATGAAAATGTAAGATTTTAAAGTGGAGGCGTTTCAACCAACCCTGCCCCTAAACCCAACACTCATTAGGTGATGAGGAAATCGTACTAAATTGTATAAATTAGATCATACGAATTCATACGAATTAGCCACTAAATTAAAAAGTGAGGAATTGCTGTGAGATTGCATTGTAATATCTCAGCTACAATATTTTTTTCTGTTGCTTTTTTTTCCAGCTGGCCAGATGTACCCTGCTGCTCAGACGTCTGTTCCACTGCCTCCGGCTGCTAGTGCGCAGTCAGCACCGGGCCTCGCTAGCAGGACGTGTTTTCTGCGTCGCTCTGGAAACAGCAAATCCAAAACACAGCAAATCTACCAAAACACGTCAAACTTCGCCAACTACCAGAACTGCACCATTGTGAGGTCACACGTGCCCCATGCCAACTATAGCACCTACGTCAAAGTGACACCCAAAGTCCTCATCTTCCCCATTTTCGTTCAGGTAAATGTTTCTGTTTTTAATATGAGCACAGACATTCAACTAAACACTGATTTCTTATATTGGTTTGGTCACATGACCCAGATTCTGTATTTAATAAGACAACAGAGTACCAAACTTTTTTTTTTGTAAAAGATTATTGGAAATTGAAACTCCTTTAATTGTATTATTATTTTTATGAGTTACACATAATCAGCAACATGTGGAGATATGGATAGGAATATGAATATGAAGCCTAATATGTTTAAAGTCAGAAGTTGAGGAGACTTTTACCTCAGTATGCTAATGTACTTCCAACTGAAATGGAATATTAAGTAGGGGGCGGGGCTTTTCTTTTTGCACATCATTCCTTAGTAGCAAACTAACAGTAAAAGAGGCGTGGCTAAGGACGTCAAATTGATGTCAACAGAACACAGAATTGGAGTTTACTATAACAATAAATCATTTTCAGTGGATTAACTTGCATTGAATATTTGCTCACCTAAAGAATAGCAATGTGCGCTAGCAAAATAAACATTGCAAATTTCACGCACAATCCTTTTGGCAGCCCAAAAAAAAATAAAAAAATTCAACACAAACCATATTGACTCTCATTGCAAGTGCATCAGGTTCTAGTGTATTTTCTGTATTTTACAAACACAACTTGTTGACATGTCAACAGAGTGATAAATAAATGTTATGTTTACAATGGAGGTTGAGTGAAGAGGAAATTTTCCAAAATGCCTTCATGGAAGATGATCTTTACCTGATATTTGAATGATTTTTGGCATTAAATAGTGTGCAGTATCTTTGACTCATACAATGTATACTTGGCTTTTCTTATAAATAATACTGTAAGTTCAACATAAGTTGGGTTTTATGCTCCAGGGTCAAATATGTGAACAGGAATTGTATACTTCCTAATTACAAAGATAATTAGATGATAAAAAGGGCTGTTTGTGAGAAGTAAGATCCACACGGGATCATCAATATACATCAAATGAGCCGATTTCCCCCCCTCTTTAAGTGTATCTAGGCTTGTTTCATCCATCGATTGTCCTTAGGCTTAGTCCCTTATTTATCAGGGGTCACCACAGTGGAATGGACCGACAACTATTCCCTTCCAGCTGCGAAAATTTAAGATTGTTTTAAACATACAATGTAAGTGGGACTCTTATTTTGAAAACAGGACAGGCAGGTAGATTAAAAAGAAGATTTTTGGGTTCACGGCACGTCAGAATGCAAAATGCTGGATGTACAGATTGAAAATGTATTCAGGGCCACTAATAGCAACGGTTTCTTTATTCTGCATACAGCCTCTTTAAAGGGATAGTTCACCCAAAAATACACAAAAATTTACATTTTACTTACTTTTAAGTGGTTTTAATTTTTTATTTTTTTCTGCAATATATTGATGAATATTGGAAACCGATAGCCATTAACTTCCATAGTAAGAAAAAATATTATGGAAGTCAATGGTTATGAGCTTTCAATATTCAATAATATAAAAATAAAATCATCCAAAGAAAGAAACCCAAACAGGTTTAGAACAAGTGGCGGGTGAGTGAATGATGACAGATGTTCTTTTGGGTGAGCTGTCTCTTTAAGGCAAAGTTGGCATATACACTGATTCAATGTCTGTGTGTTTTTGTTTTCTAAAGCCTGTAGATCTTTGTAGCCCGACTCGAACACTGCTGATCACTGAAGAAATGATTCTGTATGAGAGCAAGCACTTTTCCATCAAGGTGAGAGATATTTTGCATGTTCATTGTACTGTCAATCACTGGCCACACACACTACTGAGCCTCATTTTCACTTTTAAAGGACATTACATCAAAGTTGGATCACTCTGTGGTGTGTTTTTCCACTACAGTTTTGAGTGGGACTCCAAATCCAGCCCTCCGTGGGTTAATAAATTTGATTTCCATTGATAATTCTTGTGTGATTTCGTTGTCAGCACTTGAATAATAATAATAATAATAATAATAATAATAATAATAATAATAATAATAATAATAATATTTTACTATAAGTGAGGGGTGTGTAATACTTTTAGACAACAGAGGCATGTGCATGAATGGACACAGATATTATTGAGGCTCAAGTATTTATTTATTTATTTATTTATTTATTTATTTATTTATTTATTTATTTATCTATTTATCTATCTATCTATTTATTTATTTATTCATTTATTTATTCATTTAATACAGTTATAAAGAGGAATACTGACATTTCCCTGCACAGTTTACATGCAGTTTGTTGGTTGTCCTGCAGAGGACCTCATTACTCTTTTTCTACATGGTGCACTTTAAAGGGACAGTTCACCTCAAAATGGAAATTTACTCACTATGTAGTTTTTGTCACAACCTTTGTGAGTTTCTTTCTTCTGTAGAACACAAAAGAAGATCATTTAAAGAAAGCTGAAACCCTTTAGACTTAGCATAACTATGAATAAAACAAAAGCATGAAACATTTATGTAACAGTGATTCAATAAGACTGATGTTAATATTTTGCTGTTTTTTTATTAAAGCGAACTGTAAAATAATTACTCATATAATGAAACACACGGAGCATTCTATCTAATCTTACCTGTATTATATGTTAGTTTGGAATCTTTTATGCCCATCAAAACTAATAATTTAAGAAAATTAAAATAGATACAAAGATCTTTCTGCAGACCATAGATCTCCTTCACAAGCTCTTACACATTCATTCATTCATTTTCCTTCATCTTAGTCCCTTATTCATCAGGGGTCTCCACAGCAGAATGAACCGCCAACTATTCCGGTATATGTTTCACACCAGTGGTGCTCAACCCTGTTCCTGGAGATCGACCTTCCTGCAAAGTTCAGCTCCAACCCTGATCAAACACACCTGAACCAATTAATTAGGACCTGAACAGCACTTGATAATTACATGCAGGTGTGTTTGATATGGGTTGCAACTGAAATATGCAGGAAGGTCGATCTCCAGGAACAGGGTTGGTCACGCCTGTTTTACCCAGTGGATGGCCTTCCATCTGCAACCCAGTACTGGTAAAACACCCATACACACTTTACGGCCAGTTTAGTTCAATAATTCACCTATAGCGCATGTGTTTGGACTGTGGGGGAAACTGGAGCACCAGGGGAAAACATATGCCAACACAAGGAGAACATGCAAACTCCACACAGAAACGCCAACTGGCCCAGCCGGGACCTGAACCAACAACCTACTCAACTCATTCATTGTGGATTTCATTGATAAATCCTTCTGTCAACAAGTCAAACCACCTAAAGTAGCTGTGGGTGACACCCAAACTGAGAAATGTAAATACAGTTTAGGGCAAAATTAGTCGCCCTCCTATGAAATATTAATTTCTTTTTTTAAATATTTCTTAAGTGATATTAAATGGAGCAAGGACATTATTCACAGTATTTCCTATATATATTTTTTTTCTTCTGGAAAAAGTCTTATTTGTTTTATTTCGGCTTGAATAAAAGCAGTTTTAAATTTTTTAAACACCATTTTAAGGTCAATAATATTAGCCCCCTTAAGCAATATTTGATTTGATTGTCTACAGCAAGGGTTCTTTAAGTGCTTTAAGACCGATCAGGACACAGCTATTCTGTATAAATCACATAAATACCTCATCCAGAAACATTTCTAGCATAATTATTTTGTCGTAAAGAAATACAAACGTTTTACCTAAAAGTTCTGGTAGGCTGTTTCACTTCGTTATCCAGCCAAATAAGTGTGTTAGCATTGTCATTGGTCATGCATCGATCTAATTCTAAATACTTCATAATTTTTGACTAAATTTAGTCAAGGAGCAAAGATAAATAATTTATACTTTGCGATTGCATACAGTCTGAGCACACACGCAATGATGAGAGGACTTGCAGTTCCTTTGAAAAAGCCCATTTAAGAGCTTGCATATCCAGTTTTTGCATGACTGCGCTCTTGTGTTAAGATAAAGCACTCGCAACATTTGCAGAAATTAGTAATTACGCAATACCTGCAATCCTTGCGCCGACATTCAGACTGTATTAAATCAGGCTTCAGAAGATTGACAGGTCAGAGGCGAGTGAACTCGCCGTCGGAGAGAAAAGAATGAAACGTGTGTGCAGATCGTCAGCAGGAAGTATGTCCGCGGCGTATTTACTCTTGCTAATAACACAGACATCTCCATAGTGAAAACATCCGAAAAGCACTTTTTTAATAAAACATTTGTTTTTAAGTTGTTTTTTCTGTCATTGCAACACAGAAAGGCCTTTATCTCGCTCTTACATTTCACGCAAAACTAGACAAGGTGGACTGTGATTGGTCACTTTTCATGTCAGTCAAATCACCGCTTTGGAATTCCGGCATATTTTATATATTATATAAAGTTTTTAAAAATATATTATATATTTTCGATGAAATAATGACTGTTTTGGTCTATTTTAGTAGCGAAAAAAGATCTGATGAATCCCAACAAAGATCACAAATTTGCACATTTATTTTTTTCAGTCTTTTTTACTCCCATCCTGCAGCTGGTTGAGAACCACTGATCTACAGAACAAACCAATGACATGCCTAATTAAACTAACTTTACCCTAATTAACCTTATTAAGCCTTTAAATGTCACTTTAAGCTGAATACTAGTGTCTTGAAGAATATCTAGTCTAATATTATGTGCTGTCATCATGGCAAAGATAAAGAAACCAGTTAAATTAGTTATCAAAACTATTATGTTTAGAAATGTGTTGAAAGAAAATCTTCACTCTGTTAAACAGAGCTTGTAGTAGGGCTAATAATTCTGACTTCAACTGTATGTATAATATATTCAAGTAGGAACAATGGTTAGTTACTAAACCAGACAGCAGAAAAGACACACAGGAAGATGAATGGCTTCTATTAAAGTGAAGGAACTCGCCAAGAAGGTTTGAAGTGTTTAGTCATCAAGTTTGCAGAAACTATTGACCTTAATTTCCTAATAGAGATTAATTACATTAGATGGCAAGCCACAGTATATTGCATGTGACGGAGGCAGAAAACAGTGTCAGCAACAAGCCTGTCACCTGACGAGACACACTAAAACTTCTGCTTCATGACCTGCTTTTGTTCACAGTGGAGATCACAATGAGAAAAGTTTGTGACACTTTATAATAACCGCACTCTATTAATCATTTAATAAGCATTAGCAAATTGTTAATAATTTGTACAGCATTAAGTCTACATGACTAGACGATTGTAGGCAGTTTATAACTACAGCTACAAATGCTGTATTTTTGACTGCTTGATTGTATTTCTTGCTACTAAATTAAGTATTGCATCATTTACAAAGCAGTTATTTAGGAGTAGCTGTGGTTGTTAAGATCATTCAGAATGTCTAAATAAATGATTTATAAGCTCTTCAAATGAACATTTATACACTCTTTATACACGTTTATACACATTTTTAGTCAGCTAAAATGTCTGTCTCCCTTCAGGTCACGGTTTTTATATACTCGGATTTGATGCTGGTGACTAGAGAGGATGAACCGGGCCGGTGTAACGTC